GCTGCGCATTACTACTACTAGTGGATGTCATATCCCTATTGCAACGAGCCAAACGCGTAGGTATGAGATGGTTGGGGTAATGACTTGCGCAGCACGACTTTCTACGGCGGGTGCTCGTGCTTCCTCACCCGGGCGTGCTTCTTCTCCTAATCACACCTGCTCTTTCCTCTCCCAAACCACCCAACACATTTCCCGGCAAACTTTCTTTCTGCGCTCTGAGAGGGCTGTTGGATGGTCGAATCAGGACAGCTTATACCGCCTGGTCGCATCGTATACGGTGACCCCAGGGCTGTTCAACGTCCCTTGTCCAAGCGGCAAGTGGCGGCAATTTCTCAAGATCGTGAAGCGAGCCAGCACCGCACCGCTCATAGTATGCAATGTGTCGCTGCTCTCTGGTACTGAATGAGGCAAAGCCTCAAGTAGGCGACTGGCGAGCTCAAACGGCAGCGAGGCTTTCTTCCAGGATTTGAGAAATCGATGCGACGTGCGAGTACCCGCAGACGCTGTGGTGTGCAAGCTGGTCCACTAGATTCAAGCGGCTGCCTGGCGGGTGAGCCTTCTTGCCCCAACCTCTCGAGGCCCTTTCTTCTAACCACCTTTTGCCAGGACCTTCGCGCTCAAGGTACCCATAACGACGACACGCCGAACCTCTTTCGAAGCATTCACGTCCCTGCTGACACCGTGTCGACATACCCGCGTCTTCGACCCCGCCTTAACGTATGAACCTTATACGCCAAACTCCTAGGATTTTTTTGGTGTGCCAACAGCCCGACTGGACTCATAGCACCATGATATTTCCGAGCAATACAAGAACTTCCACGAAGATGATACATTGCAACAACAAGATAAGAAAAGAATGAGAAGAATGTACGGACATAGACGGCAGAGGACAGATCCTTCAAATCGATTCCGTTCATCGAGGGCATTTTGACGCAACGACTGATCCGACATCAGCTCAACGACCTTGACGATGACTGTAAAGAGCTTGGTGCACACGCCACAGCACGATCACATCGATCGATACTTCGTACGCGATAATGCTGGGCCTGGGCGAGGTGGCGATGAGCCTTGCGATAATGCTTCAAGCGTGCATCTTGGCGTTTGTAGCTCTTCGAACATCCAGGCTCTTCACAAACATATTCACGACCCTCCTCATGCTGGAAGCTACCATGCTTCAAACGCCGGTGGCGTGCAAGACTTCCCTTCGCGTATATCCCTTGGAATCTGGCACAGCAGCCACGCTCAGAACAGTTTAGGCGAATTCCATCTTGTGTTGATGGTTCACGACCCATGTTCGTTGCTAGTGGGCTCATAGAGCAGTCGTGCCGGGATTGCTGAACTTCCTGCGAGTCTGACGTGCTGCACCCAGTTAGGCGTTCATCTCCTGACTTGCGGTGCATATCTACTTACTTGGAGAATGCACTGTAAGGCGACGAGTCGCGACCCTCCACAGATGTTGCTACATGACCGAATGTTCTCCCGGGTAGCCGTCCTGGCGCGGACGCCATCGAAATCGTTGAGCTCCGTCGAGACGAGGAAGCCTGGTCGTGACACTCCGGAGACAGATACGAACCCGATTCCACATCTGCTCCATGTCTTGTGATACGATTCCATGACGAGGTTGGTGTGGTCACTATTGCATGGGAGCATGATGTCGAAGCGCCTGCGTTTCTAGAATCGGTCACTCTACTTTCGCCTGTCGGCGAGTCGATGCTGATGAATGGTACCGCGTTACGTCTATGCTGAGGGAACAATCGAGAGTCGGACTGTAGGGACTCGTTCCACAGTCCATTTGGAGAGCAATCTTCCACATAAGGGTACTGATTATCGTATCCCATCGCTGGCTGTGTTGGCGAAGTCTGATCTTTCGTGTCGGCCCGCATAGAGACCATGAAGTTTGGGTTTCCAGCGTGGTTCCAGCCCAGACTACTTACATTGTACATATGGTTGTCGCACTGCCACGCTTGTACCACGCCTTGATCGCCCACGCTCTGAAAGGCCTCTGGGCTTGGCACCATTGATCTTGGCCCAAAGCTTCCGGAACCGTCCATGGTACCTATGTATCCTGGCGTTGATCGATCATGCCTTTGGTTTACCATCATCGGGTATCCTGCCGGCGGCCCGCCTGATCCGCCTGTCGTGTCAAACACGTTCGTCTCCGTATTGAAAATACTCGAGCGATGCGGCCAGTCCGATGTCATCTTGTATGCCAGACCACAGCTCCGTTTTTCAGAGCGTTATCAGTTAAGTTTGTGGTTGACCGGAGATCCTTTGGGAGGCTTGGACGACGTGGCGACGTAGGCACCCGATGGTATGAGCAGGAGGGCGGCACCCGAGGGCGAACTGCGCTAGGCGTCGTTGACGAGGCCGGCGACTTCGAAATGAGATCAGTAACGTCGGTGATTTGGTCTCAAAAGAGGGGGGTTCTAATGTTCGATGAGCAGCGACTACAATGTGTCTTGGAGGCATGGGGTGACGAACTGATCGCTATCGCCGCGAAACCGACGGGGGATACTAGCGTAATGAGGATGCCTCCAGCTTGACAGTAGCATCTGACGAGATTTGCATCGTTATTACGTCGATTATGGTATCAAGGACAATGTTGGTCGTTGCCTCACTTTTTCTTTGGTGCCAGCAAGCGGACCAGTATCGACGTGGGCTGTGCAGACACGTGCGGAGAAAAAGGTCAACGAGATGGCCCTAGGCGTCCTGTCGTTGCCAAACAATGTCTGAGAGCGGAGACTGCGTGCGGTTCGATCCTCTTCCAATGGATGGAGAACGTAAGATGAGCGCGTGGAGGGACTCGGAAGACACTCCAGACTGTATGGCTTCAGTCGTGCTGTGTCCGCGTCAGCGGTGGAAAGTCGACCGCAGGAACGAGGCCAGCTTTCGACAGGGCCTGGTACCTGTCTGGCCACTGATTTCACGCGTCAGCACAAATACACGCGCTTTGAATCCCTCACACGTCAACTAGCAGCAGGCAAACTCACGAATAGACGCAAGTCTAGGACGTTAGTATGCCTCAGCGACATCGCCCGCACCCCGAATCGTCTGCGGTACTGCAGTCGATGGCCGTGGCTGAGCGCGAGGCATATCCCGTCGTCACGCATGAGCCTGTTGCTGTATGCGCAGGTAAAGCGGGTAAAGCAAGTGCCAGGAACCCCATGGCAGACGACTGAGTCGCGAGCCGCCTTTGATTGCATACACAGGCTGACGACAGGGTCGTTCCGGTGAACAGCGAGCGGCGGTCGCAAGTGGAAGACGTGGTACTGGCGAGCACGTTTCTTGACGATGAACAGGATCTGGGGTGAACAGACTCCCTTCGGAAGTGCGACAAGGTCTGGAAGGGCAGCTGCGCTTATACCAGATTGACTGCGTAAGCGGTCTTGTCCATGGCTGGATTCCTATGGACGCCTCCAGCTCTCAACATCTGCATGACGGATGCGGACTCGCAGGTCGCAACCCTTTCGGTAATTGCACAAGGACACATAACCTTCAATATTCCACACACACATGCACACACACACACACACACACACACGGCTAGCGAGATGCGGCATGGCGGAGTGGTAAACACATCTTGTGTCTTATTTTTGTCAACCTGTTGAAAGCCAACCTTGCCATTAAAGTTGAGCGTGCGGTGTGGGCTACCGCAGAGCCTCACGGCTTGCCACTGCCGACAGCATCGATAGCTACTTGGGAAAGTGCCATCGGAAATTCTCGCCCTACATTCGAAGCATACATCAAATTGCTGCCCTGTCGAATACCAAACCTTGTGAATGTATCGACAAGCCGCGTTCTTAAGCCTGACGGTTTCCAGTAGGTCTAGGAACCAAAGATACAAGACGCCCATGCGTACATAACCACACTGCCGCTGATAGCAACCGCTGCAATCGCTACAGCCGTCGAAAACATGCGACACTATGCCCTCGGAATCGATTAGCCAATCGCCTGTCAATAGCAGAGCCGCTTCCGTTCTGGCCAAGTGTTGGTGCAAGGCAAGGAGTTCGCAGGTCAGCCAGGGATGTTCGTAAACACCCATGGAAACAGCCGATATCTCGATCGAAGTGCGGGGCTCCTGATGCTCATCTATTGAGTGCACCATCCGTAGTGGTTGCTGTGGTTTGGGACTAGCGCTCAATATGTAGCGAGTGGTTGCATGGCTACACAGCTGCATGGCCAGTCAAGTTCCGATCACCACACTCACTTAGACAATTTGTGATTCCCCACCTTTTGATTGTGACTTCAGTAGAAGACCTGACAGCTGAGCGCTCATTGACAGTGAGGCTCAGGGGGCTCGCAGCGCTTGCGCTTGTGATTTGAGCTGTCCACTCCTTTAGAAATGCAGGCTTTTCGGGATTGAGAGTCTCAAGGTGACGGCGAAATGGGCCGCACCTGACTAGCATGTCTGTCAGGCCAAGACATACCTGCATTTTATTCAGTATTGTGGCGTCAAACCACCAGACATCTGCAGCTCGCGCGGGCTTTACCTAGCTCCCGAGGTCTGGAAGTAAAGCAGCCACCACGCATGTCCACTGTCCACAAGCGCTCCTCCGGGATTGCGCCCGCTTCGAGAAGCATATGGTTTCTGCCTAACACATGTGCACTGCAAACCTCATGCATCTGCCGATTGTGTATCGCGTTCGCGCATGCGGGTGCATTCAGCTCGCCTGTGGAGGCTGGCTGGATACAGAAATCACGCTAACCTGTTTATGGACTAGCCTGCTCATCCCAGTCACGTGCCACATGGGCAGGATACGGCGGCTCTCCGCGATCGTTGCTGTTCATCCCAATTTCATCAAAAGTCCCACGCCGAACCAATCACGACAAATTGCCCGAATGCACTCCGGAGTATATGGATGATGTGGAGATCAACAAAGGGACGAGTACCTAGGTAGGAGACAAGTGCGAAGGAAATATCATGACGTCGTTATTTAATAGCTGAGCTAGGATCAGGCGCGAAACACCACCGAAAACATATGCTCTTCACCGACTACCTTTCAACCAATGTGCCTTCCCCCATGAAAGCGCGGATACAACCTTTTCCTCCTCCTCAGCCACGAAATCAAGCTCCTCGGGGTCTTCAATGTGGTCGTTCGCTCCCTTTGACCTAGGAAAGGGGGGTCTATCCGGGTTGTAGTCATCTCCGAGACAGCGGAGGGACTTCTTGACTCCTCTACCCATTCCTTGCTCTTGTCACGAACCTGCGCAGTCTCTTGGAGGGGCCCCCGGCGTTCTACGACGTTCCGCGAAAGACAGCTCACGAGCGTTTCAACATCTTCCAAAGTACTCATGGCCCCGAGGGTCACTCTGACTATCCCAAAAGGCACTCCGTCCACAACATCAGCCTCCGTATTGCATCGAAGACCCGCGTCGAACGCTCCCCGTATCCATCCAGCCTCTACACCCAGCGCACATGCCATACCTGCAGGATTACACACGTTGCCCGTGCGAACGTGGATCTTGCTCGCCCTGAGAAATGCTCCAACGTGCCACGGGCCGATGTATGCTCCATTGCTTCTCTGTATATTGAAAGCTATCGTCGGCCCCTGTCTTTGCGAATCTTGATAGTGAGTTTCTCTCGACTTGTATACTTGGCATACTAGTGCACCATTGTAGTGCGTCATGCTCGTCAAACGATCGTGAAGGATGCTAGCAAGCCACCTAGCGTGTGTCGAGACTTCTTCAAGCCCGCCGAACAACGCGCGATGAGTCATTATAGCACACTTCAGAGCAAGAATATTCCGGAAAGCGATCGTTCCGTCCTCTAAGCGTGCATGGAGGCTAGAGTTCTTGCGGGCTACCCATGATTCTCCAAGGCAAGTTGTCATCTCTGTCGTGCCACCGCCGAAGTACTTCCGGTGATCGAACACATGGCCAGCCGCCTTCCGGACAATCAGAGCACCGAGATCCGGGAACCCAAAGATCTTGTAGAAGGATAGGGAGATGAAGTCGGGGGCGAAGAGATGGTTGCTCAAGTCGATTGGGGTCGTGGATACCAAGGCTGCTACGTCAAGCAGAGAGTAAGAGTTCGGATGATGCAACGATAAGCGTAGCTTGCCTGTCCAATCCAGTGGAAGTCGCTCGCCGTTCATGTTCCTGTACATAATAACATCAGTGTCGACTCTTCTTCCATCAAGTGCAAGGCCACCTACGACTGCGCTGGATAAGCAAACAACAATGGTCTCTCCGTAAGAGGACCTTGGAAGGGACAGTCGTTCGCTCCGGCGAGCCAGTCTTCTGTCTCCTCATTGGATGCGAAACAGTGGCTACGATTGGCCAGCTCTCGGACACCAACCAGACTTGTATGGCTGTTACGATGATAACAGTAATCGAATCCTTCCTCGTATCCAGAGAACCCTTCTGTCACCAATTTGATGGCACCGGTGGCATTAGCGGTGAAGACGACATCAAAGTGAACGGGGTCGGCGTTGAACATCTTCAAGACAGCAAGCCGAGTTTGCTCTACCATGACGGCAGTTACACTCGGATTGGATGAATCAGAGTGAGGATTGGCGAGGAGAGTGCTTTGCATCTCTTCGCAGAAGGAGTCGAGTAAAGACTTGGATGCGAGCGTCGTGCCGCCATGATCGAGGTACGTCAGATCTAGGTGCCGTCAGTGACATGTGAAATATGTATCATGTCTGAGCATACCTTCAAGCATTGGGTACTCGATCTTCCGCATACGACTGATCCGATCATTGTAAGCACGTCGCTCACTGTTTTCGTCCCAGTGCTTATTATCGTTGGCAATCATGGGTCGTGGCCCGGCACGTTGGAAGCACTTCATCTTTTCGCAAAGATGTCAATCGTGTCAGATATGTGGAGAAGCTTTGAGACCGATCAATGCAGGAGAACAAAGGGATTGACTGTCTCAGATCGGGGTAAGCATGGACTATAACTACACCCTTCTCCAGGCCGCGAAGACGACCGCATGCGTTTTGTCTGATCATACCATTTCTCGGCCCCGTTCCCTAATCGCTAGTCTTGCAGATTACACAGGAAGTTACATCAACCTGCAAGAGTGCGGCACGCCTCGACGGGGCGTAAGTTCGAAAGAGGTCGATAGTCTGGACACTGGATTCAATGCGCCATGACGAAGGAACATCCCTTGCCACAAGCGACTCCACTCACTACATCCAATGCACAGCAATCAATCAACCACATCTACACATATTGGCTCTAGATAGCAGACGGCTGCATCACAGGAATCGGGCATCGTGGTCAGTCTTGCCTAATTCTGACTCTCCGGTCCAGAGTGAGTAAGATCGTTGCGTCTGGAAGAGGCGGAGCAAATCAGAACTACATAAATATCTAGAGTCGATCCTATCACAGTCACATATGCCATTGCGGCCTTCATGACTGTGCTTACTGCCCGACGGGCGTAGATTCGATGGTGGTCAGCACAGCCGATACTTCGCCGCCCAGTAAACCCATTTCCAGTCACCTTTATGGGAAGATATGACGATGATAGTAGAAGTATCATGTACTGGACTCGGAGTTGTAAACGTTCGCGTGTGGAAGCGCGCTTCAAATCACATCACATCGACACCGTCTATGATTCGCCATAGGTTCGCCCCTCTTCGTCCGCGGAGTGCAGAATTCATCTTCGCACTGTGATTTGATGCTTTTCAGGATCTTCTCGTTCAGGCACATGCAGTTCGCTGTCAATCAAGTAAGCCCTTCGTCCCCACGACTCGCACACAGCGCCATCATTACAATCGCGCAGCTAGTGCCGTACTCGGCACTCGTGGCACATGCAGTTCGCTTTGAATCGAGCAAGCCCTTGTACTCACAACTCGAACGCAACGCTATCATCCCAATTGCTGTCAGTCCCGAGTACGGCAGTTGCGAGGTGAACAGATCGAGCGGCCCGCGGCAACTATCACCGCTCCGCGTAGATTCTCTGTGGCTGCGGAGAGTTGCTCCTTGCGCAAGGGCTTCTGACGTTTGCAGCGATCTTTGACAACTCACTCTTTGTTCACAGTTTTTGATCTCTTTAGTCTTAGGAAGTTTACCGAAACCGTTCCAGCTGATGTCATGGAGCCATTTCGGAGAGGATGTGACCGGCGGTGAGAGTTCTCACCCTGATATTGAGTCTTCGCTGGTGCCCACGCAATTCGGGGTCAAGAAACGGCGTTGTTGAGTTTGGCACACCACATAATCACAAGCAGGGGTTTCACTCCTATTCAAATCACAGCGGCGCAGTCCCAATATATATACCCAAGGTTACTCACGAACACAATTCAGACTCGAGCGCGAGGCCCCCAAAGACAGTGGCGCAGTGAGATTTCCCTTCAAACTTATGGGTCATAAGCAGGCTATCGATCCTTGAAGAACGAACCACCAGCCCGGTCACATTCGCGTACTGTCCCGCCCCAATTACCAAGTGCGATGAGCAACGCGAGCCCACTGGGTCAGCGGTATTGTAAACGCCATTCGCAATAGCTTCCCGTCGCGTTGGGGCAGCCCCGGCGGCGCGCCTAATGCCAACACACTGACCTCTGACCTCCGGAGCCGTGCATGTATCAACATCGCAAAAATTTGCAAACAGCAGCACCTAGTGACGAATACGTAATTCAGACGACACCCTTCTTACGCATCGGCTCCATCCTTTGGAAGGATGATGGTGTCGAGAGATAGGCGTGCATGAGTGGGGCTAGAACTACGCCTCACCTGGGCATCTTGCCGCTCATCCGCTCCAGGGCTATCTCCATCCAGCGCAAAGCCGTTTTTGGTCTCGAGCCATACCTCTTCTTTCCTCTGTCTACTTATATTGCGGCATAGTCGCGGCATACACCAAGAATGCGGCCCGCACTTTGACTAACTGTTGGTTGTGATGATTGGTGTTCGCTAGAGCTAGCTGAGAAGAGCGAGACCCCTAAACCAATGTTGGAACAGGTGTTCGTATCGACCGATCAGTTCGGTGGCCTCTGCAGCATAGACAACCCCAGCCGGCGGATGTATCCTACCTAGGCAGCACTCAGAGTTTGTAATATTTCCTTCTACACATGTCTCGGTAACCGCTGCCGTGCCGGCTAGCTGGATTCGTGGGAAAAGGCGATGTCAAGCCGTGCTGAGAACCATCGTGTATCCAACCCGTCGCGCCGGCCTAGATGGCCTTCTTGATCAGTGGGCGACCGTTCGGCGTGAGGGCTGCGCTGAGATGGCATACATATGCACAGTGGCTTAGCATGTCCACACAGTGGCCGGATATTGGCACTCTACAGAGGTATGAACGGCGCTTAGGCAAAGACGGCACTATCCACGCGCGCGAGTTGTTGCATAACTCCGTTAGCCTACATCCACTTCGTAGAGGCTGCAAAGTTGTTTGGGGGCTGAATGCCATAGCTGTCACAACAGTATCGCACGATTGGCCAGGTATCGATGTAAGCTGGACTAAGCTGTGTGGCTGTCCAATACCGCTCGGGACGCAAGCATTTGAAGATGAGGACGCGTCGAGTGTTTTTAGTCGCTGTTGCAGAACCGCCGCATGAAGCTATCGCTGAACGCGGACCCGCCCCTCCACTCCAAGGTGGCTGACCTCATATAGGAAGGCTCCAACATGCCAGTGACATGTGGTGGGGGCGTCGAAGGGGTACCCTTCATATTGGGGCCAGTTCTCGGTCAGCGGTTGATTGATAAAGGCAGTCTGTCTCTGCTACAGTTTAGAACTTGATGCTGCTTTCGAGTTACTCACGAACTCCTACTACACGCAGAATGTCAGTGGCGCATCGAGCGCTCTGGATCGTTACTATCCTGCACGTTTATCCTTGGACCCAATACAGCCTTCCTAGGCTGAATTGGCCCCTCACCATGGTAAGTCAACCAAGTGTACCCCTAAAGCAATTTCATAAAACGGCTTCACGCTGTCCATGTTAACGAAGGTCATACTGATGGTGCCTACAGTCTGCCTTGCACTCCGCCACGATTCCCAGTCTATACGTCCCGTAGCGCGATCCCAATTTCGAGACGAGGATCAATGGAGCGGGCCTGTCGCAGGTCCAATCACGACGGCTCAGCGAAAAGGGCAACGTCTAAAACACGTTATACAGAACAACAATGGGACACATAGGACTATCACGCAGCCTCGTGCTACTGCTGCTGGCTGGATGGTACCTAGGTATGGTCACCCTCACACCCAGACCTCATCATTGACCTCCTCTTTTCTCCTGGATGATGTTGCCACCCCTTAAGCTAGTGGGTGACGGAGCCTATCGTATCGCGCCAAGGGAGGACCTCACTGAAGCCGACCGAAGCGGTTACTCACCGCTTCGTCGAAAAACCAACGGAGTTTTGCTGTCTCCGACGCACATTCAAGGAGTTCATGGATCGGTTCAGAAACGATGTCACAATCTTGCGACGTGCAATCCAGACCAAGGCTCCATTGCAGACAAAAAAGGACTTGTCTTTGGCGGAAACAGTGCTGTCGAGCGGTACGATCGGGTCGCATCGACAAGGTCGCTGGGGCGGGGCGGAGCGGAGCGGTTGAAACTTTGTGTAGATGCGTTTCAGATGAATTGCTGGAGGGACCTCCCGCGCACCGCCTCCTTGTGAGTGTTGTTGTTCCTTCGGCGATTCGTCGTCGCATGCCTGGCCGCCGTGGACATCAGCACCACCACCATTACATACTGGCGCAAGACGCACCCATCGCCTTCGGCTATCACATATCCTCGACTCAGAGATCTGGTATTGTCGTTTTGGCTGACGACCGGATTTCTAGTAAGAAGATTTTCCGCAGCCAGGTCCTCCATCGACAACCCCTGCACCCGCTAGTGTTTGCCAGACGACAGTTGTACAACACCCTCCTTTTTCCATCCAGACCCATCTCGGTGCATCATCCTCATCGCTGCAAACAGTTTCCTGGATCCGATCTCTTTCCAAACTGCGTGCGTCCATCACCAGCCCGCCTACACGACCTTTCAGAAGACAACCTTTCGACCAGAAAATCTAAGGCGCCGCCCTCGATCAAGAGAAAACGAGTCTTTGGCCTGTCATCGCCTCGAACCAGACTTGGCCTAGGCACTGTCATGGCGTATCCAGATCTTTCTGATTCGGAAAGAAGACACAGGTACCCGCAACACCTAACATCGGGTGATAGCGCTGATCGTCCCCGAAGCAACAGCATGAGTGACACCACCAACTCCGATCAGGGCCGGACCGGGAGTGGTAGCAGCTACGTGCATGTTGAGCGCAGCGATGTCGAAAGCTACCAGGACAGTCTCTATGCTGGTCAGTTCGACTACTCGGAATCTTTAGCTTCCTGGGACAACCTCCAATCCGGATCCAGCGGCCAGAATGTTGCTGCCCGGGATGCTGCCGGTGGTCAACACACGGACTGCACTCGGGGGTTCGAGCCAGGCTACCGTCGCAGTCCCTACCAGACATCGACCATGTACGCCGGGCCCAGCGACTACAACCCACATACTCAGTATGCTGCGCCAATTGGACCTCCCTCTCAGGGATTGGCGTTTACACCAAATCATGGGCCGTATGGCACGCAGCCCCTCTACAACTTACAAGATGACATTGGGCAAACCTATCCTGCGCTTACTCAAGGTGACGATACGATGTCTCCTTACAGGGCAGCATTCGGGCAAGTGCCCGATGGCCGGTGGTCCACAGTCTACCAACAAGCCGAACGTCGGCAACATCTGGACCAACAAGTGAATCATTTGATGGACGTACTTGATCCAGCTGGTGTTCAAGCTATCGCAAGGAGTAACGGCTACGCATCCGATACAAGCTCAATGTCGTTTGACGATGTCGACGATCAAGGTTGGGGAGGAGCCAGCGTAGCCACTATTCGCCCAGAGAACGGTCCGCAAAACGCTCCAGTCGATTATTCGAACGGCTCGCAATACCCACAACCCCTCGCAGGTCAAGCGAGGTTTCCGATGCCTCCGAATCGAGCAGTAGCACGGCCCGCGCGGCAGACAAGTCTTGCAATACGGACTCATCCTCGCATGGCGTGAGTCTCACTAGCCTACTGCCCCTAAGTTACGTCAGTACTGATGTTAGTAGATCAACTCGCAACGACAGCCACGAAGCATTACCTCCAACTGTATCCGCAGTACTCATCTCCTCCAACCCCACGCGACCAGATGTGATCCAGTGTTCTTTTTGCTCCAAAGAATACACAGGGCGCTGGCGAAAGACTAATCGTGACCGACACGAGCGGCACAAGCACCGCGGCCAATCCAGAGAATCAACCTGCCATGTCTGTAACCAGACGTTCCAGAGGTCCGATGCCAAGCTCAAGCACCAGCGACGCCGACACCCCGAGCTTTTCCAAGGCGGTGTGTAATTCGACAATACCGGGCTGGCAAAGGCGGAGCCGACATTGCTGCTTTCCACGATCCAGATGGAGACAGTTGTCATTGCCACCATGATCATGCATGGTCCGTGTTGTGTCCTCGGTTGGGCTTCCTGTCCACATTGCGCGTCTCGCGCATTTGCGCACACACTTGGGTCGTTTCTTCTTTGTCTTTATTGTTGTTTCCTGATATAGTCTTTCCCATTTCCTTGTCTTAGGACGCACTTGGCGAGTATACACCCAGCATCAAGCGTTCATGGGAGACCACGCACCCTCTCGCCAACCGCTCCCCCAAAAATAACTTTTAACGCCTGTTGTATCAATCATGTTTTCTTTTATGATGCGAATGGACGTTCTGTATTTTGGTCTCGACGAGAGATATGTCTAAGGTAATTGGGTACGACGGTGTGATGCGGTACGATAGTCGGCTCGTGTACGCTACGGTTCAACGAAAGCATCGGAGCGGGCGTGTCGGCTATTCCCTTTGTTAGGCGTTTGGAGTCTGACATACGTCTCGATCGGTTTATGAGGTAACGAGTGCATGGGCGTTACGACGGGTGATGGGATAGAAGGCTCGACAAGGCCGGGCAAAAAATGGTCGATTGTTGTCGCAATGTTACAAACATCGATATAGCGGTTGGAGAGGCATAATGAACACCTTATCTACGATGGCTTCGTGTCAAAACGTCTCGCGGTGATATTGGCGGTGTGTGAGGGCGATGCAGAAAGAGATGTGAAGTGGGAATATCTGCTGTGCTGTGAGAGAAGACGGTCTAGTTCGGGGAAGCCATGGTGCTTCCCCGTCGCGCTAATTCGACTAGGTGTAGTGCAATTGTGAGGCTTCAGGGGAGAGAGGACCGATCGAACGCCTTCGACTTGGATCTCCTACACCATCAGCCGTGTTAGCTGCATGTTATCTAGCCAATACGTATTTCTTTTCTGCTCCACGGACGACGTCTGACGCCTCAACGATTCCACCTACCCACTCAAGCAGCGGCCAGCGAGTCTACATATGTAGTCACGCAACGAGAACGGTATTGTGATCGGTCAAGGCGAGGGTCCTGCGGTCGTGTGAGCTCTGTTCATGCGTCGTGTCTCAGAGTGTGAAGGGTACGAAACTCGGAGGAGATTGATGCTCGATGTAGGAGCGACCGCCGCTGGTACCTAGGTAGCTTGGCGAGACCGTTTACGAATCCCAACGACAGCGTTCGGAACAACTGAATTCAATTCGCAAATTCAGTAATACAAACCCTATCTAAGAAAAGAACGTGGCCTGTTATTCGCTGCATGACAGAGTATCCGATGCACGATAATGCAGCTGCGCAATCAACTCTGCGTCAATACGACCTCAGCATCACACATGATGGCCTTAACCTATCGCTTTATGTACTCATTGGCTAGCAGCATATATATTGGACACGACGGTAGCCACAACGGACCCTCTCTTGCTCAAGATGTGCACGAACTGACCGCTCATACGATCCGGCATGGATGTCAATTCCGTACCTAGGCGGAGTCCAAGTCCGCCAAACATGTGTACCGTGGACTGTAAACCTACCAAATACTCTCCTCAATATTCGTCGAAGCAATCACCCACCTATCAAGTCAACATCCTTCTAAAGTTGCAGGCTGGACGAAGTAGGTTGAGTGTGTATGGCTAGGAATCGCCCAATAGGGTCCTACTTGAACAGCGCACGCCCTGAATATACGTGCACGTATTGCGCCTGCTCTCAAAAGCGGACGTATCAAGCCTGATAGTCCGCCAAATACTTCATCGAGGCAAACTTCTCAGCTGTCGGCCAAAGCGACACGGATTCTCTTGCTGTGGCGATGACACGCCACACTCCACTTACCATTTCCATCAATGGTTAGTTGATGGACACAGAAGATGTTGCCCAGCAATTTCGACCAGTTACATCCGACGATCCCGTTGTAGTTGTAGATTCCTCGACGATGGTTGAGGTCAGTGGCATGTTCGTGGTGCCAAGAAATGATCAGGAGCCGCGGGTCCTCTTACCATCCAAGCGACGATGCCGGCACTGCAGCAAAGCTCAGCCAACGACGCGCTCTTGCCGTTTGATCCTCAGATTTGATGTTCAAGAGAGACACAGGCTTTATCGAGTTGGCCCTGCGTGTATGTAACGCCATTATTGCGGACCCCGCGGCTGTACTCATCACATGGACACGTTGAGAGCCAAAGGTGCGCATACGACAATCATACAACATACTAATAAGCTACAGTTTCTATCTCCAATGCGGCGATAAGGTCACATCAAGATACCTCGAAGCCCTCAATGTCGCCCTTCGCATCGTATTCGCGAATCATCTGCTCGTACATGGCCATCCCTCCTCCATGAAGCACCCTCCGCATGGCCTGCCGCCGATGCTCGGGGTCGCCCCCAGCCATACGCATCGTCGCGCCTTCATGATTGAAGTAGCCCGGCGTACAGGCTAGCACGACAGAGTACCACAGCGCCCGCCTCTCAACGTCGTCCGTCCACGCATCCTCTGCCTGCTTAGTTGGCTCGATGACCATCTGAGTAGGATCCGAAGCCTTTCGCGCAGCCTCCTTCAATATACTGGCGATATGTGTGGACTCGAGGTCGAAGACCGCGGTGAGGTTGGGCGAACCTGGCCCACCACCGAGACCGGGATACAGCAGATTGGGGAAGCCGTTTGTGGCGATACCGTGTATCGTCGCAAAGTCGGCAGAGCCATATTTGTCTTTGAGACGGCGGCCGCTACGGCCTACAATGGGTATGCCGAAGAGTTCGGCAGGGGCTGCATTCGCACCAGTCGCCAGCAGGAATCCTGTGGCAAGAATGAGCACGTCCAGCTCATACTCGACTCCATTGGCGACGAGGCCTCGTGGTGTGCACCGCTCTACGCCTTTACCATCTGTGTCTACAAGCGTAACGTTGGGCTGGTTGAACGCGGCAAAGTACCCATCCTGGAAGGTCGGTCGTTTGCACCACATGGGATACCACGGCTGTAGCCGCTCTGCCGTAGCTTGGTCCTTCGTGACGCTGTTTCGCACATGCTCTCGTGCCTGTTCTGCCAGTGGCACATCCATCTCGTAGAGCGAGCGTGCGTGCTCTTCTACATTCTGAGGTGTGACGAAACGTGGCCCTCCAATGAAGCCAGCAAATCCGCGCGCATACTGCGTCCAGCCATCGGCGACAAGATCTGGATGGTTCTCTGAATGCTTCTCCCCATCGAAGAAGGTGTCAAAGTTGAGCCGGCGAGCGCGTTGCCAGCCAGGTCCCGTTGCCACGTTTTGTGCCCATGTGCTCTCATCCGTTGTCCTTTGGCGGCGGGGTACACAGTATGATGGTGTGCGCTGGAAGGCATACGTATGGCCGGCCCATTTCGCTACCTGTGGTATCACCTGCACCGCCGTCGCACCCGTGCCAATAACGCCGACGCGCTTGCCTTGTAGTTTCGAAAGCGTAGGGTCGGTCGGCGAGCCACCGGTGCAGCTAAAGTCCCAGCGCGCGGTGTGGAAGACGGGAATGTTGGCGCGCAACTCTTCGAAGCCGTCGAGCTTAGGCATCCTGGGCTCCGTAAATATGGTACTGGCTGGAACGATGAACTGCGTCAAGATGGTCATCTCCTCGCCATTGCCGTGCTCCCTACGCATGCGGACCACCCAGCGCCGCTTGGTTTCGTCCCATGTCGCGCCGAGCACCCGTGTTGAGAACTGCCCACGCAGTCCAAAGTGCGATGCCACACGTTCGCAGTGTTGACGGATCTCATCGCCTGACGCGTACTTGTGTTTGGGCTTGTAGCCTGTTTCCTCGAGGAAAGGCATGTAGATGTAGCTCTCTACATCGCATTGCAAACCTGGGTATCGGTTCCAGTACCATGTCCCACCAAAGCCCCCCGCGACGTCTACCAGGTAGATGCCTTTCGCCGAGAAGCCCGCTTCTACCAATCGTCCTGCAGCTAGCAGACCTGCGTGGCCGGCACCGATGATGAGGAACTGGATGTTGTCGCCGTCCTTGAGTGGACCCGCGTCCTGTTGCTGCCCTTTGTCAACCCATGGGTCATCTGCGAGCGGGGCTTCTGCTTCGCTGTGTAGAGTCGTGTACTGCTGGAAACCATCGGCTCGCAGTCGCTTGTCGCGTTCCTGCGCGTATCGGGCTTGGAGGTTGGCAACGTCGGGTACAGCCATTGGAGTTACTGTTCGTTCCCTCTACAAATGAAAGTTATGCACAAGAAGTTTGGAGTGGGAACGAGCGCTTTGCATCAAAGTACACAGTTTTATGTCAATCGCCAAGTTAAGTGTTTTATTGCACCGGTGCGCTGCAGTTCCAACGCGCTGCTACTTCTTCTCCCGTAGCCGCTTCTTCACCCGAGCCGGCTCGAGCCGATGAAGTATGAAGGGAAAGTAATCTTGCCATGATATCGTGTTCAAGTGGTGTCGGGCCCCGACTTTACGAAAATTATCCGAGTTTCGAGTTGGTGTGGGGACGTGAGTTGCATCGACGGTGGATTTTGACGCTATACCCAGGTAGTTCTGTTTGGGGACGAGCCCTCCTCCACGCAACGCCCCACGAAGCTGACCACCCTAATGGTGTCATGGAACTCGATGACGATCTAGACGCCTTTGCGGAACCCTGCAACCTTTGCCTCGCGAAGGATCAACATCTTCGGAAGAAAGAAAGTGGCTAGCCTTCGGCCCCAGACAGGAGATTCCCCTCAGGAAAGCTTCCTTCAATCCGGCTCCATACGTCACGGCGTATAGGGGTGCTCCGAGGACGAGTAAGAGTTCAGATTTCAGCTCAATCAGCGTTCGCTTCACAGGTAAGTGAAGCGAATCGTGCAGCAGAATTACGAAGTGTCTTTGGCTACTCTCTGTGCTCCATACTGCCACGATAAATGTACCGATAGACCCGCAAACTCTCCGATAAGCCTTGCGAAACGAGTTGGGTAGGTGGTGTATGGAAAACGCGGCCAATATGATTGGGCAGCACAAGTCAGAGAGCCTGACAGCGCGTAAAAACTCTACAGCTTAAGAACTGCTTCGCTGTCTAGGTGTAGAAACGTCTAGAGACCACTCGTTCTGAGTCTTGTCTTCTGCAAAACTTTCTTTCGAGACCTGCGTATCGTGGTTGAGGTACAAGCAACATGTCGACCCAGCAAACTCAAACCCAGACCATCGTGGAGACCGCACCTCCCAGACTGACGGTCATCGGGTCACGATCCAAAGATGTGCCACGAAAGACGTCCTTGCGCCCATACCTCGAGCTCACGCGGTTCACCAAGCCTGCCGGACTGTTGGGCGCCGCCTTCCCCTACTTCATCGGCTTCCTCTACTCGGTCAACTTGACGAACCCAACAGCCCTCGACCCAGCCGATTGGGCCAAGCTGAGCGGCATCTTCATGCTCGATGTCCTGATCCTCCGTAGCTTCGGCTGCGCCTGGAACGACACAGTCGACCAAGACCTTGACCGGCAAGTCGAGCGCTGCAAGAAGAGGCCGCTCGCCCGCGGTGCTATCACCACGCCAGAAGCGCTCGCTACAACCCTTTTCCTTGTCGCATCGCGCCACGTCCTAATCAACGCTACCTTACCCGCCCGCGCGAGTGAACACGCCGTTTGGATCACCTTCCTCGCCCTCGTCTACCCCTTCATGAAGCGCTTCAGCAACTTCCCACAACTCTGCCTTGGCGGAGGTGTGGGCTGGGCCGTCTACTTGGTCGATGCTGCTGTCGTTGATGGACCATACCCAGCAAGCTCGACGAACAAGCTCAACGTGGAGGATCGCAGTAAGGCTCTACTCGCCATGTGGGCCTGCCAGTCTCTTTTCAACATCACCTACGATACCGTCTACGCTTTCCAGGACATCAGAGATGACCTGAACGCAGGGGTGGGATCGCTGGCTATAGCCGTGCGCCACTACCCCAAGGTGTTCCTGCTGTCCATCGCGAGCGCCATGGCTGCCTTCTTGTGGGCGACCGTGACCTGTGGTGGTCTGATGCGCGGTCCGTTCATGGCTAGCGCCGCTGTGTCTTCCTTCGCTGCCTTTTTCATGTTGGCTCGGCTCGACGTCTGGAACCCAGCCAGGTGTAAGGACTTCTTCGTCTACAGCCAGTGGTGGGTCAGTGGGGTTCTGGTGACTGGTCTGATCGGCGAGCTGTTGATGGCGAGGATGTGAGTATGCGACGGATCGCTGCTTGCAGCTTCCGCAATGCGTTCAACACCCGTATGAAGAAGTGCTCTCGAAACAGAGACTTCGCGAACATAACGAACTTACGAATCTGGTATTCGATGACATGAAGGATTTCTGGTCAGAATGTGGAAAGGATGAATTTTCATAACAGGATATGTGCTTTTAAGTGATCGATAGCTTCTGCATATAGAGAAGAATGTACTTTGATCCAAACGATCGAATTCGAGGGCTCAACAACTTCCATTGAATAGCGTATGATAAGTGATGCGACTTATGGACCAAGCAGCAAAATACTGTCTATCGCCGCCGTCCTTAGATACGCATCGCTCCAAGGTACACAGCCGCAGTCAGTCACAGAGAGTGTGACAAATGGTCATTGTTGTTGATTGGGGAGGCCGCTGTGGGCGCTGAGAGCTGTATGGAGACGGAACAGAGTTAGCGCCTTGGCGTCGGAACGCGCGCCACGGGCCGTCAACGTGGCTGGCGTCTGGCAGGAACGTGGGAAGTACCCATCACTCCTTCCCAGCGCGACGGGCGTGACACGCGCGATCAAGGATGTACTCGACCTCGGGAGAATGACGACACCTCCCACTATAGCGCCGTTCGGACCGCAAACATGCATCACCCAACGCATACCCTGGCCAGCAACAAGGCCCTCGATCGGACCGCGTCGGACGCGACGAACCATTCGGCGGAATAATAGTTACGACGTGAGGATTGAGACAAATAATCATGACGTACTCGTTGGAAGTCATCACACTGGGCATTGGGAGAAGGGACGCGATCAACGATGCTTGAAGAACCTCTTGGTTTGAGCAACTACGTATGGGCGCCACAGTCTCTATCTAAAGCTCTGGAATCGGCACAGGTCCAGCGGGCGGCTTACCGCCAGGCAACCAACCTTGGTGCACCGTCCTGACACCCCAACTTGCCGGGTAATCGATCTTTGTGTGGAAGAGTCCGTAGTTCTGGAAGAGAAGCAAGTCTTGCTCTTCCTCAGGTCCGACCCAGATGTGCTCAGGCTTGATCATGCGCCCTTGAAAGCTGTCAAGGAACTTCCTGACTTCGCCCAAGTCGTCTATGACCTTTGGAGTGTCGTTCGGACCCTTACGGATGAATAACCGGCGGGCGAGGTTGTGCTGGCACTGGAACGACTTCTTGCCAGTGACGGGATTGACCCATACCAGCGGGAGCTACAACGGTATTAGCACCAGATCCCTTGAGTCTGTTGTATAGGCAGGCATACCTTTTTCTGCCACTCCTTGCTTCCCTCCTCATGCGCCTCCACCTCCTCGTCTGGCAACTCCCTGCCCTCGCTCGCTACACCCAGACCATTTGGTGCACCGCGGCAGCCCTTGATCTTCTCGTACGGCCAGTACATGTACTCAACCCAGCTGTGGTCCACCATCTGCTTCTCCTCGTCGCTCAGCGACTCATACAGCTGCTCGACATCCACAAACGCCGTGCGTCCTGGCTTTACTTCCATGCTCTGACCCGAGCCGTCGGCCCATTCCACCGTCTGTGTCGCCTTGCCCTCTGTAGGGAACTTGATGGGTCGGAGCATGGTGAAGGTCGGGGGATCGTATTTCCAGTAGGTGCCGTCCACGTGCCACCAGTGGAAGCGAGTCTTTCCAGCCTCGAAATCTTCGTCTGCAAGCGGCTTGCAGTAGTATTGGTTGAAGTTGGTAGCGCCCATGTTTAGGCCTGGCTTGCCATAGCGCGGGTCGTCTTGGGGGCCTTTGCCAATGAAGACAAAGGCGCCTGCGTCAGGGACTTCGACATAGTTGATCGCTGCCTGATCATCCATCAGCGCTCCGTCGTACTTTGCAGTGGCGGAAGTTCTGTCGCTGGACTTACCACTATACCATCCTTGGGGTAGAACGCGCGAGCGAAGGTGGTGTTGTCTATCTTACAAGAGTCCGGGTCGAGCTTCTGGAGCAGCTCCCAGCCACGCTTCGGTTCCAGGTCATGTTGGCCTTTGATGATGAGAAGCTTGTGCTCCCAGGTGGCTTTCTGCAGCTGTGCTACCGTCTCGTCCGTGAACTTGTTCAGGTCGAGACCAGTGACGATGGCTCCAAACTAAGAGGAAAGATGTGAGCGACTGAAAGCAAGAAGAGCGCTCATGCATGGATTCAACTCGTACCTTGCAAGTCTTTCCCGAAGGATGGACCAATGGCTCAATCTTGAAGTTGCTTGACATGGTGGTAATGGCGAACGATGTGTGTATGAGATGAGTATTGCGCGCACGATATCGCGACTGCAGTTGTACAATGACCAAAAGTATGGGGCGCTTGTTAGCTTACATACAAGCTGCATGTCACTGTGCAAAGCCCCATGTCTAGATCGCGAGAGTGTCGCGATTCGCGGACCAATTTGGCAAGTCGGAATCCGGGGTAAACCAAAATCCACCGAATATCGCAGCTCGCGCGCTGCGGTGGTTTGAGTAACGTCGCTTTTCCCTCACATAATCGCCACGGGGTGAGATGGAATACGAGCTAACCTGCCGATGATCGAAAATGCAAGCAACTATTGCTCATGATCACTGCGCAGATGGCCTTTGCCGGCGTGCAGTTTCGGAAAGACGTTCCGGCTATCGGAACAGTTTTGGGGAGAGCTTATCGATACGGAGATGTCTTGGCGAAGAAGCACCGAAATTCTCATTAGGCATCCCGGCCTGACCAGGTCCACACCAAGGGGCGACATTGTATACAACCGTTCTCGTGCCAATGAACACCAACCAAAAATCGCTAAAAGATACATTCACAACTTCTCATGCACCGCTGTTCGAGCCCCGACTACCTGAACGCCATCTCCCTGCATGCTGTACGGCACAAACATCTTCCGTTCCAGCCCAACTTCCTTCAAGATACGATCCCACTTAGCCAATGACCTCTCTTGTGCCCCATAATTGGCCATCATCAGCAAATCAAACGATGCGCCGTACCAGTGCGCGCCCTCATCCTGGATGACAAGCTCGTCCAGCAAGATGACTGAGTCAGGAGCAAGAGCGTCTTTGAGTTGAGAAAGGATGTTGTAGCAGGCCTGATCAGGCCAGTCATGCAGGATGTTGCGTAGGTAGTAGACGCACGCTCCCTTGACTGGCTGCGGCTGTGTGAAGTCATGGTGGACAACCTTCAGTCCCTCAATACTCTTTGCAGAATCGATGGCCGCCGCGTGCGTGTCCTGCAGCACAACACGTCCCTGCAGCTGGGGAAATCTCCTCAACACCTCCCTAGCCTGGTGTCCGTATCCGCCACCGACGTCCACGAAGAGAGTTCGGTGATTATCTCCCGTAGTGGAGCCGTGCACGTACTTCTCGAGCGGAAACACGTCGAGCCAGCTCTTCTGCCCCACTCGCTGAAACGACATGTACTCGTTGAAGGCTTGTTGATGACGGGGTCGCTGCGATAGCCACTCAAAGAAGTGCAGGTCCGTGTTCTTGCCCAAGTTGAACGGAAGATGCTTGTTGTCCAGCGGTTGCTTGTAGCCATTGTCCGCCATCCACTTTGGTATCGCATTGTACGTTGCGATATTCCTCTCTGTTCTGCAAAGTAAATTAGTTACAAGCCTCAGAATCAAGGTCCAGTGGTACTCACACATGGAAGATCACGGATTCAAGCCCTGACATGGCTAGGTATCGCGTGATGTTTGTGGCCCGGTACGTCTCCACTCCGACTTGCTCCACCATCCACTGCGTTGCTGCATATCGTAGCACTCGCACTAGCAGTGCCTCCTCAGCGCCCAACTGGGCAGCCAATTGACTCACGCTCATCGCCGTACCCTGCCGCGCAGCAAGGAGTCTCCACAGCCCCAGATCGATGCCCACTTGTACCATGTTGGGTGGCAGTGCGCAAAAGATCAGACGCTGCATAGTGTCCCATGGTTGCTCGAGCTTGAGAGAGGCCATCCTGGCAGCTTCGAGAAATCGAAGTCGCTTTTCCTCGTCTTTGTAAAGAGAGGCGGGGATGTGGCCGGCGGCCAGACTTTCGAGAGCATCAAGGATGTTGTCGGCTTCGACATTTTCGTCATAAGCTGCATCTGAAGGTTCAGACAGAAACGGAATGGCAGACATGGTCGTAGACTCTTCACTGATGAATTGGTGTAGAGGTCGTTGATGATGAGATACAAGACTCTGCGACCAGGAACTATGAAGTTATACGTATTTTGAAGCACAGACACAACTCGACGTTACCTGTGCTTCTTCGGTACATTGTGAATCATTGAGGGTCGTTCGTATCATCGGTGGCCGAGATCGTCGTACCGGAGGAGTGGTAACGTGGTTTAGTAGTGACGACTGTTTGAAGATCTGGACTCGAAAACACCGCGCTATCTGTTGTCGTTTGGCTGATAGTAACCCCCGAAAGAGAAAACAAACCGAGCCATCGACCTATGGAGGACTATCTTGCGTCTCACCCACGAAAATCGTGAAGCAACCAGAGCTTATCGTCATGGCTATGCATACGTGTTTAGGCAACCTGAACTTCACAATGAGCAAGAGTAGTGTACGTGTACGGGAGATGGCGTCACCTTGGGCAGAACAGGATGCAATAGCAGTGTTGACTTCATGGAAGATGGCACGAACGCCACAAAACGCAATCGCTTGATGAACTATCGACAACTAAAAGAGATCCCGTCATTGTAGCCTGCCCAGTCATAGGCCAATGACTCCTATACTCCCTGCGCCAGTCTTTACCCATTACATCTGTAGCTTGACAGTCTCCACCCTTTCCGCCACCTTCGTCGCAAACTCCCCCGCAACATCCGCACACAGTGCCAGAAGAGGATTCTTCACCGCCGCCGCCTCCCTATCGACTAGTAAACCCGACAATAAGGCATCCCTTAGGCGTTCCAGGACCCGCTGGGCCTCCAACACTCGCTTCACTAGTAGCACCCGCACTACGGCCCGCCGGTCGGCGCCCCTGATCGGCAGTGTTCCGCAGCGTAGCGGCTCGTGCTCCTCGTCTATCACTGAAGTCCCACCTGTTGTACTTGATGACGATAACGATGAAGACGGTGGTGAAGATGCGCCACTGTCGCAACTTGGTGAAGATGCCAGCGTTGGTGTCCAGAGGGAAGTGCCGCCCAGTTTGAGCGAAACTAGTGCTCGGTCGATAGCCTCACAGATGACGAGCGCAGTCGAAGGGCGCGTCGAACATGCGTTCGGGCACGCCATCGTGTTGCAACAGCAGGTTATGAGCATTCTCGAGGTGGAGAGCGCGGCTGAGGTGGAGGCGATGGGTGAGGAGGAGGGCGAATACGAGGATGTAGATAGGTGATCGAGGAGGGTGGGCACGCAGTTGCATGACTTAGGCGAAAGAGAGATGTCGTCTGAGGGTTGCGGGAATTGTGGATGTGTTTGCTGCTGTGGAGGGACCACGTAGCCGCAGTTATCGAAGCCTTTGCTACTTGTGGTCGGCATTGGCGTGTTCGCATATTGCTGATCCGGATGATAGCATGGCTGATGACCGTCTGGGGTCAGCAAACCAAAGTACGGTAGCCCTTCGGCAAGAAGCATGGTCGAAGGATCGGACTGGTGTTGTTCATGCTCTCGTTGCTGCTGCTCCCATGGCGCTCCACAGAACCCCATGTCGAGAAGCTCAGGAGCAATGTGGAAATCGGGAGACATTGGGTAATAGCAATTGGCTGTTTGCTTGGGTGTGCCACATTGCGAACCGATGAAATCTGGCAGACCTTGCAGGAAATCGTCGTCTGAATGTCGATATGGCGAGAATTCCATCCGATCGGGGCTCGATAAGTCCGTAGATTGCGCCATGCCGGGAATGGTGGATGCGCTGGAGTCGGAGCTGGAACTGGAGCTGGAGCAGTTCTCTGAGGTGGATGCCAGGCTGAATGGAGCAAATGGCGACACCTCACCTGAGGTCGGAATGGTAATGCCGGTCTCCGTCATGGGCGTCAGATACCCTTTCTGGCTCGCAGTTGCGCTGGTAGTGACGCTGGTGGAGCTCTTGCTGTTGTTGCGAGTGCGCGGTCGCCCAGCTCGTCGCGCCGGGCTATAGACGCACTCTATGCCTTTCTTCGCACATCTGCGACATTTCGGCCGCTCTTGATCACATCGGATCTTGGAGTGTTGACAGCTATCACAGGCAAGGCGGTACTTGGTGGGTTTTGGCGCTGGCGCGCTGCTCTTGGCGCTGGAATCGTTGTCTTGCATACTTTATTCAACGTTGACGCTTGTTTCGGTAGCCAGAAGGCGATAGCGATGTTGCGATACATATACCGGCCATACTATCAGACCAGAGTATCCTGGGTGGGGCCGCTAAGAGCTGTTGATCTGGAGGGACTTCGGATCGGTTTCAGCTGATAACACGTACGCGCTGAGACTACCTCGAACTGCCTTGGTACTGTGATGGTATGCAAAAGCTTTGTGTGTGTGGATACACCTTTCAGGTAAGATCTCGCGATCTGGGGTGACTTCGGATAGACCCTAAGCGTTACTACCTTACGTGAACTAAGCATCCCAATCGGCTTAGCTGCAACAGACCCTTGCCAGTGGCCCACATCCGACATACACTCCAGGGCTCACCTGCTTCTTTACATAGTAAGTAAGACGGGCTCTCACTTCCGGCTTATACATAGGCCTTTTGGGTCGTACCATAGTACTGGAATTGTAAGAACATAGCGAGAGCTGATCGTGGTTACACTAAAGCACGGCTCGGAACGATGCATGTCATACATGTCAGCACGAAAAACGGTGTAGCCTCCAACGTCCTCGGGATATGTGTCATTTGCGTCCAAATCAATGCATATCATATGCCTGGGATATGGTATGGCTCGAGGCGATGCATGCAACAGTGTCGCTCGGCTCATCACCGGAGGTGCAGCATGCATCCAGATCGGGTACCGATTCTCCACTACCCTGGCGCCTTCGTTGACGACCAAAAGACTGCTGCGGAGTTCAACAGAGCAACGTCGTCGTATGAAAAGTCATCATACATCCCACGTTACCTAACACTATCGAAATTGACGCACTCTCAAGGCCCGTACCGCTAGATTGCGCTCGTGCTTCGTTCCTTCAACTTGGCAGCACCGCGTGGAGACTTGCGAACGGGGAAGGTGTTCTGAGAAGGGCCTTGTTCGGTTGCATCAAGAGCTTCTCAGAGATAAGATATACAATAGCCAAAGCCTCATAGAGTTCGGGCCGAAGTTTCGGTACGTTGAGCCAATTGGGTGCACGAGCAGGCTCTCGTGGAGACTGGCGGGCGAAGGGGACATATACAAAGGGCCGTTTTCGGCTGCACCCACAGCCTCGTCGTTCATACCAGCGCATACACACAGGGGCTCGATGTTTGACTCGCATGTTCAGGGTACGTGAACCTGCTTTGGATGCTGATGATTTTCCGAGGACCCGCTCGTTGCGTGGGTAGTGGAGACTTGTTGTTTTAAGAGGCGAAGGCGCCCTGATCAACCCATTCGAAACGGACCGGTTCAACTCTTCTCGCACCTTCGATCGCAGGGCTTCAAACTGTTGGTCTTCTTGACTTAATCACGTGAAGTATTCGTCAAGGAAAGGATATTCGGGATGTGGATGGAGACATCGGCTATCACTACGACAGTAAGATTTGGCGTCTTACTCAGTGAACGAGAACAGCCGACTCGAATTGACTACGGTTTGTGTATTTGCTATGTTGCTTCACTTTCCGGATAACCTTGAAGGTAATGCACATAGAAGACGTTTATGCTGACCCTTGATCTGGCTGGCCCTCACTTCACACTTAGGCCGCTGTCGTAAAGATTGGACTCATGTAGACCGCGAAATACTCACACCTTCTGCAATTTCATTCACCACGCAAGTAGATGCTTGCCAAATATAGACTGGGTGAACACAAGAGTAGTTAAAGGCTTGAAATACAAGTACTGTTCAGCCCAAGAATGGTTTTACCGCCTCAAGAGCTTGCTTGAAGTTGGAAACCTCATCGGGCGATATACCCAACTGCTCCTTAGTAATGAAAAGACCCTGTTCCTTAACATGCCCAAACCAGTCCGTCACTGCTTCACCAAACACAACACCTGTGACAGCCTCTTCTCCGGCCAGGCCAAACAAACTACCGATAACTTCTGGCTTACACTCCACGTATACGCCTTTCTTGCCTGAGACCTCTTCCCACTGCGAGAGCGCCTCTCCAAGGGACAGAACCTCGGTGCAGACACCGGCGTATTTACCATGCGTCAACTTGGGGTTCGCCAAGATTTGGCGCGCCCAAACACCTGGGTCTTTGGCCATGTCACCGGCCATGGGGTAAACGGTGGATGGAGTTGACGGGACCATCCAAACGTATTTACCCGGCGCACTGGCCTAACGGACATTTGTTAGTCAAGTTAACAAGCCGTATGTTAAAGATGGTCACTTACCACTGGCTGTGGCTTCAACATGGGGAAGAAAGCAAAATTGGACGGATAGAAGCCAAACATGAGAAAGGTGGTCTTAGCCGCCAGCTCTGGCATGTTCTTCCGGATGTGATCGTCGACCTTGGCTTTGTAGTCGAAGTGAGGGACAGGGAATTTGCCTTTGGTGATTTCGTCTGCCGCAGGAAGTGTGCTCCAAATGTAATGCTCCAATGTCTTTACTTCAGCGGCCAATCTCGCGAGCATGATGCCATCGCGCTTCTCGATCTCACCGGCCTCAGACTGACTGGCGCCTTTGAAGAAAGGTTCCCACCACTGAGTCACGGCGAAGATGGCTTGCGCGCCCTTCCTCCATGTCAGTTCTTGATAATGACATTAGCGAAGACAATGAAGACTCACTGTGAAGGCTTTCCTAATAGACTCTTCATCGTCATAACTTCCTTGAACGACCTCCATGCCCTCGGCAGCAAGCTTCTGGGCCTTCTCTCCGCTCGGATTCCTGGTCACTGCGCGGATCTGCCAGTCACCAGACTTGAGCAACCCGCGAGCGATGGAACCACCTTGGTTGCCAGTCGCACCCGTGATAACAGCTAGTTTTTTTGCCATAGCTGCTAAGTGATGTTGTATTCTCTGGAATGTGGCTGGAAAGGAGAAAGAAAGAGGTTATAAAGCTTAATCCCGTGCAAAGTCTGTAAGTTCCAGGATAAAACCTTCAAGTTGCACGGAGAGTATATGCCTATGGACAGAAACGACACCTCTTGAACGCACGCGAACTGCCGAAAACACAAGATCCAGCTTCAGCATACTATGCCATTCTCGGTGTTTGAGAAGGCCGGCCGAAGTAGTGTAGTGCCATCTTTGATCGATTCGATCCAGCGATTGAGCCTTCGGTGAGTAACGAAAACATTGGCATGGTACGCGATCGCAACTGCCGGTAGTGGACTATCGGGTGTGTACTCGCTGTTCAGGTACTCAAAATATCCCGCAGTGGGCTCGGCCCGAAGTTCCACAAATGCTCCGAGCCACGACACGCAACCGGCCACTGTGGGTCTTCGTGCATCACCGATGAGGCTCGCTCTCCCATGCTGTCCGCACGTGGATTGTAGACTAGAGATACTGTACTCGCGGTATTTCCCAGATTGCGAGTACAAAGTTAAGCCTACCTAGGTAAAGCAGCACCCTGAGTGAAGTATGCATGGATATGAGGCAGAAACGATGACGTCTTCAAAATAGCTGTGTGAGTTGATATGTTGGTGATCGTGGTTCATGGCTCGTACCACATCGAACATATGCCCCGGCTACCACAGTAGAGTAAGCAAAATGCGCCGACTTTTCGGTCTCTTCGGTTATCCGAGTCCAGATGGGGTCCCATGGCATCTATTATTACAGTAGCTAGACTGCTTTCATAGAATCAATCGTCGTTTGCTTCTCATTATCCTCTGCTTTCAGTCAGTAGATACCTCATCAGTCACAATGTCGAGAACCGCCAGTACCTTGCTTTGCCGCGCTGCGCCAGCGCTCCGTCTCGCCGCACTGCAACCAGCTCGTTCACCATGCCTGCGCAGAGGATATGCTCAAGAGACACCGTTCCCGAAGCCACAGAAACTGAAGGGCGTCCTCAAGCCTTTGAAGCAATTCTTAGTTACGCCTACAGTGGGCACCGAGTTCCCAGAGGCGAATCTCGTTCAGATGCTGAACGCACCCAACTCGGATGAGCTTCTCAGAGACCTCGCCATCACGAGTAAGCGCGCAAGCCGCTACCTTCGAGAAGACAGAGCTGACGAATGTGTTCTCTCTAGTCGCGCGACGTGGAGTCGTCTTCTTCCGCAACCAGAACGACATGACCAACGATCTCCAGAAGCAGCTCATCCAACGTATGGGTGAACTAGTGGGAAAGCCGAAGGAGTCGACCCTGCACATACACCCCGTACTCAACCCCAACACCCCGATGGGTGGCAACGACCTGCACATCAGCACCATCAACTCCCGTCAGCGAATCATGGCCCACGGCAAGGCCGTACCTCGTGACCTAGGAAATGTAAGACAGGCGCTTGAGTCGTGGCACAGCGACATCCAGTCCGAGCAGGTGCCTTCCGACTACACATGCTTGAGACTTGTGGAGCTACCCACCTGTGGAGGAGACACATTGTGGGCATCTGGATATGAGGTCTATGACCGCATTAGCGAGCCCATGCGGAAGATGCTTGAAGGGAAGACGGCAAACTACACCGCACCATGTAAGTCTGCCAGCTGCTAGCGAACTTCGTGCCCTCTAACAAGTCTCTCCGCAGTCTTCGAACGGATCATCAAGAACTCGAAGCTCCAGGTCTACACAGAGGCGCGTGGCCACCCTGAAAACACCGGTAACCCTCTGAAGGCCGTTCACCCGGTCATCCGCACAAACCCCGTCACTGGATGGAAGAGTGTCTTCTCCATTGGTGCATACGTACGTCTAGCTCCAGCATCCAAGCCATATATCCACTAACTAGACAACAGCCCGAGTCTATCAACGGCCTGACTCAGCCAGAGAGCGACATGATCCTGAACTGGCTGATGGACATGGTACTCCGCAACCACGATCTGCAGTGCCGCTTCAGGTGGCAAGGTCCAAACGACATGGCCATCTGGGACAACCGCAGCATGGTACACAACGCGACCATGGACTACGACGACCACGGCAACCGCTTCGGATACCGCGTGTGCGGTATTGGAGAGAAGCCCTACTTCGACCCCAACAGCAAGTCGATGCGCGAGGCGTTGGCGGAGGAGGCGAAGGAGGAGTCTTCATGAGCGGATGATGTTTTCAGATAGTAATTCTGGTGGGAACGGCGTTTTGTTTTGTTAGTGTACGAAGGAAAAGCGGTGGGATTCCATCCTTGTATGAAGTAATCTGATCTCTTTTGTTTCTTGTCCGAATCTGATGTCTACTTAAGTGCAAATTTGGTTGTTTCTGTCGCCATCAAATCTGCCCTGTGCTATTGGCTATTGCAAGGCCGCCAGTTGATGGATCGGATGCAAAAGTTGATGGGATGTTTGCCGCTCAATCTGCGACACCGCTGAAGTGACAGGAGAAGAGGCAGGTCCTGTGGGGGCCGCCGCTGGAAGCTCGGAGTTCACGACACGTGCGCGGTGGTAGCCAATAAGAGCGTAGTGCCCCGCTTGGAGATTTCGGCCCGAGTGGGTCAGGGGACGACTCCAAGTGCGAGAGCCTCATCGATCGCTCGTCATCGCACAGTACTGTATCGTGAGTACCTAGGTACCTGGGTATCTACAACACCTTCTTTCTGCCCGGAGCAACCCCGGATCTAACGTCATTATCTTATCATCGCATAGCACACGTGCAAGTACTCATGAGGATACGAAGGCACTCGGCAAGATCCGTTGCTTCGCCTTCTTCAACTGGCATTCAAGTGCGAACTGCAGTACACTATTCCATTATCGTCCGCTAAAGCTACGAAGAAGCATTGATACGTGTCTTCACGCTATCAGTAATTGTCTCCTCCAGCCCCATGAACCCCGGCCGGCCAAGTTCCTTCAACAGTGCTTCTGCTCTAGCTCGCGGTCCGATCTCCGCCAGCGGAAAATCTAGACCATCGAGCTTGTCTCGCGGCTTGTAACCTGGGACGACTTTCGCAAAGATGTCGAAGAACTCGTTGATGGAGTAAGACGAAGCGTAAGCAAAGATGCGTTCGTTGTTAACGGCTGGGCTGATCAAGCTGGCAACATGAAGACGAGCGACGTCCTGAACGTGGACATAGTAAACTGCGCTAGTGTTAGCTGTTGTTTGCGCTGCACATTTGGAAAGAGCAGGGGTTGCATACAACGCTGTACATGCTTGATGGAGTCAGTATCGCCGTCCAAGATCTGGAGCGGGATACGCGCTGTAGACGGAAAGCCCTGGTGGGCCACGTCTAGCGGACTGCCGTAGATAGTGCAAGGCAGCACTGCGTTGGCAGAGAAGTGCGACTTGTTGTTCTTGATCCACTCCCAGAATGCCTGTTCGGCCGCGACCTTAGAAGCAAAGTACGCGATCATGAACTTATGCATCGGTGGAAGCGAATCTGGAATGTTCTTAGACAAGGCCAGCGTCTGCTCGTCATACTCGTCCGCAGACACTGTGTCAGTCCCTCGGTATGCTTGCAGCGAGCGGACCGCAGCTGAAGACGACGTCAGCACGAAGCGCTTCACACTGGGCTCTTTGGCTGCGGCCTCCAAACAACCCAGAGTTCCGGCCACGGTGGTTCGGAGCAATTCGTCTGGTGTGACACCCATGTCCCGTACTGAGGCAACGTGCACAATACCGGACACACCTGGACGGTAAGACTTGTCAGTGATGAAACGGTGTTGTGTTTAGGCGGTGGGAATACCTGACACCGCGTCGTCGAACGCGCCGGGCTCCCTCATGTCCTTGACAGTCACGAGCTCAAACTTGTTATCGCCATACTGTTGGGACAAACGATCTACGAGCCACTGGTGCTTGCTGGCGTCGCGCACTGTGCCTCGCACCTTGTAGCCTTGCTGGAGAAGCTGGTCTGTGACGTGAGCGCCAACAAAACCGTTGGCCCCTGTTACAAGGACGGTGGAACCTGCGGCAATTGCGGGACTGTCGTAAGGAGCCATGTTGGGTGAATACAATACGAGGGTGTTGCAAGATTCTCAGCACTGAGATCAAGTCTGCGAAAGGTTTGGATAATGGGGTGATGGGGTGATGGAGTGGTGCAAATAATCAGTTCTTCTACGTTGTTTGTACTTCCGAACACAGTCAGCCCGGTACCATTCAAGATCTTCGGCGCATTATTGGTGTTGAGCGTTTGAACGATGCTATACCATATCGAGTTTTCGATATAGTACCGCTACCTGAGGATAAGCACTGTATCTTACTGGGCTGACGGGTACCCACCCCCTCGGGATCTTGACTCAGAACACACCGAGCTCGGTAGGTGACATCCGACACCCGACAGTGACAGGGCTCCCATGCGAAGGTGACGCCATAAGATGTAACTCTCACGACTATACCGTCAGGACTGTTTCCATGATACTCAAATAACCAAACGAAGATGCATCGCGTTGACTGTGGTTGTGCTTTTCTCGCTTTGCGAACGCTCGCGCGCGTTGAGGAATACACCACTTCGTCGCAAGTACCACTCGAAACCGCATTCCAAGTCACCTCAGAGGCAGAACGACCATGTCTCGCCGTACTGAGCTGCGAACGATGTCGCCAACAACGACTACCACTCACTGCCGTCACCATCTTGTGCGCTCATCTGGTCGACTGGCTGTGTCGATTATGGCACCTTCATGAAGAGGCCGTCGCAGAAGCATCCACGGATTCCAGCAACGGCAACACCACGACTACAACTACACCCCCGCCCAACACCAGCAACACTGTCGAGAGCCCGCATGCCAATCAGCCTTGGAAGTTTTCCCTCGGCAACTACGATCTCGCTGCCGACGAAGCCGATGCGCTCAGCAACGAACTGATGACGTTGCGCCTGACAGGCTTCTCAGCCGTCTTAGGTTCTCTCGAAGCCGCTCTCGTCACATCTGGATCCTCGTCGTCTACCGCATCTTCTCCCGATAAAGGGACGAATGGAACGCCCAACGGGAAAGCGGCTTTTGCGCCAGCTTGTCTTGACCTCGTCCGCGCAAATCTCAGTCTAGTGCGCGCATGTATCGGCCGTCTCAAAGCGCGCTCACTGCTGAGCAACGGTGCGGCAGGCAATCTGTGTTAGCACTATACCCAAGAATAATGTGTTGAACCATTGGGAGAAAGCATTTCACATGCTCTCGGTATGATGTTCGTCTTTGCGACAAGAAGTTGAGGTACGTATGTATTATCTCCTATTATCCTACAGCATCGTGGCTCCTCACTGAGCCAAATAGCCCCTATCACCAGTCAGCGCTTCATGGTTTCTCACGTAAAGATTGAACAATACATACCCATCCAGTACCAATGACTGACCAAACATGTAGCTGCTCATGGGCCCAGCCAAGAACACAACAGCATCAGCAACCTCTTCAGCATCTCCCAGCCGGCCTGCAGGCACACGCTCTCGCACGAGGTTATCGATGAAAGCCTTGGTCTGTTCCGAGGACGCGATGAGCGGCGACATGATGTACCCAGGGCAGAGCGCATTGATACGAATCTGCTGGGGTGCATACAGCACGCCCTCAGAACGTGTCAGACCGAGGATAGCATGTCGACCCGCTACATATGCACCAGCAGCGACTTGAGGGGGTGAAGCGGCAAAGGCATGCACTGAGCAGACATGCACGATACTGCCACGGCCATATCGCGAGTCGCGCGGCTCCTGCCGCAGCATTTGCCGTATCCCGGCCCGATGCCAGAGCCAGACACCAGTCACGTGTTCCTTGAGGTGGGTATCGAATGCGGCGGGTGCCGTGTCGGGACTGCCGCCCATGGGCCCACCGAAGCCGGCATTCAGAATGACGAAATCGATACGAGCGAAGCGTGACGCGGCTTGTTGAACGACAGCCTCGACGGACTCTTCCGTACTGCATGGAGTGGAGACACTCAGCACGTCTGCCACCTTGTACTGCGATGCTAGCGTCTGCGTTGTCTCTTGCAGTCCAGCCTCGTTGGTGTCGACAAGGGCAAATTGTTTAACACCATTGCGGGCCAGCGAGTATGCGGCGCTCTGGCCGAAGCCTGCAACGCAGTATTAGCCTTCTATCTCCTTTGCTACAGACGTTTTGCAAGCCATAATAATGCAAAGATAGTAACAAAAAAAACGTACCAGATCCGGCTTCTGTGATTAGTGCAACTCCCGAAAGCATTCTCGATATGGTGATCTTCGTGGCTAATTTTCATCCCATGGTTCTTGACGTTGTTTTATCGTGATCATGCAATGCCCTCGGTGCTTTCTGACTCGGCGTGTTCAGAAACGCACCGAGTTGATTGTTTTCGCCCCCAAATCTGGATCCTAGCGCGGAGTTGTGTGGAGAGGCATGAGGCGGAGAATGAAAAACCCCGGCATGGGTATCTAAATTTGAAGCGTCCAATAGGGAGCGACCAGCGCTCTTGAGAATCCGAAAGCGAAGGACGTGCGTTATGCTCCGCGTCGGCGCTCTCCGATTGTCTGTTTACAGGTTACTACGTTCCTTACCTTCTCAACGATTGTGCATATGCAAAAGGTATCCGATCCAAAGCTCCATACCATGTAGTTCTTGCGGCAACACCCCAACAGCAATACGACCGCCCCACTACCCAGCCCACGGACCGCGGTCGCTCAATGTTGCTACGATGCACCCACGCGGCCCCTTGCGAAGGCCAAGTTTGGAGCATGAAGCCTCAGACTGTATAGTTCTCCATGACGCCTTCGCATGAGTATCGCTAAGGTTGGAGCAAAGACTGTATCCTCTCGTCAGACGCAGAATATGAAGCACTCAACTTCTTGGTCTGAATATGCGACCTGGGCACACAAGCACTTGGGGTTTCCTGTGCGCTTGGTGATGATCGTTGTAGGTGGGTTGTGATGTCGAGATCGAAGAAGAGCTCGTATAGCTGGTAAGGCAGTCATCGTATCGAACACTAGAGAGTGCAGTTTCCGTGGGAGCGCACCACTGCAGGTATGAAAGCGTCCGGTTTCGTTTTTCTCAATCAAAATTCCAAGTCGACTTCTCTTAGCCGACACAGCTGGCTCATCATGCTTCGCGGTCGGCCGTAAGCTCGGCGCGCTTTCCCGTCGATTCGATCAGCCTTTGCACGTCGTCTGGGATCCATAAGAAATGGCAAGATCAAGTCACCAAAGCAATCTCTGCTCAACTATACGGCATTCCTCTAAAACTTTCGTCGTTGTCACGGTCTGGATACCTGGGCAGGGTCGCGACAGCAGCACATCGCTCGTGCACTTGTGCGTGATGTGAGTGGCTCGGGTGGTCCATAGCATTGGTGGCAACGGTCACCATCTGCGGAACGTCCGGAGCTGACGGCGATGGAGATGCGACAACGCTGTCATGGCTGGAATGACGATGAGATGCCGTTCAGGAGTGTGACGTGCGTCAACCGGTGACGAAAAGCTAGCGGCGTAATTCCTTGGCGCCAGTAGAAGCTAGCGCGTAAACAGCTCATCCAGGCACACCGTTCGTTCTCTTCGCTGATACACGAACTCAACGCTACCCTCATTTTCCATCATTTAGCTTTAATTTTTGGATAGACCCCTTTCTATCGCTTAGCGGGTGTTGACCGCTTCGTCGACTTAGTAAGAATACCCCACTCCAGACTTCCCTCTAAGCAGCCGAAACATCCACACCTACGCTGCATAGCCAAGCTCGGTGAGATGGCAGGTGTTGGACACTTTGCCTCCTCCCTGCGACTCAGTCGGGATCGAAGTGCGCGACATATCCATTCAGGGCACGTAGGAAGAGACATTGTTCCTCGACTGATGCAGCCACGCAACGCACTGGTGCAAAACAACAAGGCAGCCCCATGATTGGATCATCTTCGACGTGACTGCTACCTAATCCCACCACTTTCGCTTCTGCCGCGTTCAAGCGCAAGTTGGAACGAAAGAGCAACCACCTCGGCCCAACCCTTCCAGGATACTGACGCCCGCCAGAATGGACCCTTTTAGATATCGGAAGGCGTATGAGGCCATGGTGCATACAACGCAACTCATCGAAGAACGTTTGAATCAAGATGTTCAGCTCGACGAGGAAGGCACAGTCGATGACGATGGCGATGTACCAGAAGCCGCCTTCCAGGAGCAAGATCCGGACAGCATGGACTGGACGCCTACGGAATCGAATACTCCACCTCCAGAATGCGGACCACCCCCAACTCTATCAAGAAAAATGCGTCATCTTCTACCTGGCGGTGGAGATGGTGATCTGCAGGCCCAAGATCGTGGAGAGAACGCAGTGCTCCTACACAAGCTCAAAGAGGGGAAGATCATGGATGAATGCATTGACAAGCTGGTTCATGATCTGCCGGACGTCTTGAATTATCAAAAATCACTTTCATTCACTCCTTCGACGATCGAAGTGCCCAAGGACTTTGGGTTGCAGCTCAGCATCTCGATAAACCACCATCTCGCTCAGATAGAGGATCGCAAGGCGCTGGAGAAGTACCGCAGGCTACTAGGACATCGCAAGGACGCGACCAAGAAGAAGCCCGTCAGGCTTGGTTTTGATCCAGTCGAATTGATCAAGAAACAAGCTGTAGCATTTGGAAAGGATGTCCCCGCACCTGTATGCACGCTAGACAACGAGATACATCCTATCTTTCGTCTGGATAATTGGCACGGGTGTCCGGATGGAATCTACGAGGTCTTAAAACCGGCTTTGCAACTAGCCACCTTGCTCTTGACATCTCAGGCCACTGCTCACTTCTGGCACACTCTAGTATTTGGCAAGAGGGAGGCCTGCGAGGAGACATCTGCAGCATATGGTCAGCCTTGTTTTCGCATCAAAGAGGACGTAGCATGGTCTGAAGAGCACCACGCAACATTCAAGAACTTTTTGGATAATCAGATCGACACTGTCCACTTCTACTTCCACCACGATCCTCTACCACCAGAGACTGCATATGCATCGATGGGTCTCGTCAAAGATTACAAGAACGGTTTGATGCGGAAGATCAATCACAAATGCCATACGAG